GGCCCGGTGGGCTTTGGACCCCCCCCGGGGGCGCACCCCCGCCTTGTCCCCCCCCCCCCAGTGCGGCGGCCTTGAAGTGTTTCAGATAAAACAAGAAGGTAGGAAATGCAGCTCGTCTGTGGATGTTGCTTCTTTGGGTACCATTTCAGAGTTCAAATCAATGCAATGTATAGAAAAACTGTGTCAACTTTCATCTTAACACTATCAGAACAGAAAAAGTAAACACAAAATAGACTGTACATATCTGCTTCAGAAACAAAAATGACCCGTGTCGAGTTCATATGTATAATTTATGTAAGTTCTTATTTTCCACGTATCATGTGCTGTTTTTTTAAAGAAAAAAATTAAACAGCTCCTTTTTATTTGCCACATTTTTTTTCTTTTCCTTTTCTTTTCTTAGTAAAAGAAAGGAGGCTCTGGCTCTGGATATGAAGGGCTTTTTAAACTTTGCATTTGTCTCTCTGTCTTTCCTCCTCTGCTTACATTCTGAAAGCAGCTTTCAGGTGAGGGGGCAAGGTCCCTGTTTACAGGACACCCACTTTCTTCGGACAGAAGCAGACTGAGATCGGGCAATGGCCAAGGTTCAGATTCCCCTCTGCCAGAGGTCGCTGGGTCCCGCCTTGGCCCCTCGCCTGGCCTTTGCACAACTCCTGCCTTGCAGCTGAGCTGTGGCTCTCCCGTCGCAAGGCCTGGGTGCTTACTGAGGATTGCGCTTAATCTTCCTGTCTAGGCTGTGAAAGGGTCCTGCGTTTCCAAAGGAAGCCTGCGTAGGACTGCACCGTCAACAAGTTACTCGGTAACATTGGCGTATAGATGACTTTTGATGTGGGTTGTGAGACTCTCTCAAGAATCTCTGCCATAGAATGTTTTAGGTAACGATGGTCTGGATCCTTGCTCCCAAGGGGATCGGTGAGCATTGATGTCCTTGAAAGAGAGGCTGGCTGGCTCTGGGCTTCTTCAGAGCGCAGCCGCCAGGGACTCAGGATCTGTGTCAGTCTGGCCGCTAAGTGCTTGAGTTCTTGATTGGTTGATTCCTGCAAAAGGGCCCAACTCCCCAAAGTACTTTAAACCTTCGCCTTCTAGCAGTGATAAAGGCAGCTTAATTCACAAAACTCTGAAGCAGAATGCCTGACTTCGGGCCCTTGTTCCACAGAGCAAAATTTCCAGGCCCAGAGAGCATCTCAGTCTGAGCCGGGCTGAGGCCAGGGGTCCTCTCCTTGATGACCTTGATGGTTTCCAGACTCTGCCCAACTGTGTGAGGCTTTGGCAGAGCCCCTCGTTTTATTACCCACCTGTGCTTCGCCCTGGGCACGTTGGCACACGCACGCCCTCTTTATCCTGTCTGTACCGCAAGAGTGCACATCCTCCTCCTGTGGAGCTCTCAGCTTGCCTGTGAACCCTTGAAGGGCAGAGAGAGAGAGCGATGTCAGGTGGCCCATCTTGTTAAATGTGTGTGTGGGGGGGAGCGAAGCATGAATGGCTCAATCTGCATCCAGCGTGTCTCAGTTTCCTATGTGTTGTTCATGAGTCTCTTCCATCATATTTCAGCATTCAGCTGTGATAAAATAAAAGGAATAAACTGCACCCACACAAAAATGTATTTAAACATCTATTTTCCAATATATTTTCTCAGAAAAATGCATTTCTAACATACTTTCTCTCAAAATACATAAATCTTCATGAATTTTATCTTAAAAGAACATGATTTTTGAGTCATGAACTGCATTAAAAAAAAAAACTAGCAAAGTGTGAAAACCAAAAAATAGCTGCATTCTGATCCACTCCTAGTCCAGGAGATCCAGGTTCGTACTGAAATTTGCAATGAACCGATTCTTCCTCTTTCGCTGAAGGAGCGAGAGCCGCCATCGCCGAGGTTTCCTGAAGCCTCTGGAGCTCTCCGTGGGGGTTCAGGTCGGGATCAAAGAGGCCTTTGCAGACCGGTTGGGTTTTGCGCCAGTCCTCGTGCGCGCAGGAACGACCGGGGCCAACCGGGGCGAGCGCTCTGGCGGCAGCAGACCGTCCTTCCCGGAACCGTGTCCAGCCTCCGCTCCAGCCGTTCTGGGCCCTTAGCTGGCCGGGGCAAGCGCAAGGGAGGTTTCCCGCTGAGACGTGGGAACCAGCTGCGGCCAGGCCAAAGGGACGTTCCCAGCTTGCCCGCTCTGGAACTGCAGTGTGGCGGGAAGCGATTCGAGTCTCGTGCACCTCAAGCCGGAGCAGGCGTTCCAGGTCAGGGTCGCGTCTTCTGGAGACGGGCGGTTCCGTTGGCCACGGCAGCACCCAAGCAGCTGGCACGGGACCCCCAGAGCCGAGTTACACAGCGGTCCGTCTGAGCCTCTGGGCGGGAGAGGGCAAGCTCGGTCCGTCAAAGGGGCTGCTGAGCACTTTTCCCCTGGCGGGAGCATCACCAGCCCATAAAGCTGTGGCTTTGCCTTTGCTCTGGGCCTCGAAGGATGGACATCTGTGCAGAAAGGCTGCAGTTGAAGGAAATTGGTGAAGATCTGAATCTACCCTGGTTCAAATGCAGTAAATCATCCAGACTACTGGAACCTAGTGGAAGCTACTTAAAATGCAACTTGCCTGCATGCCCGACATCCTATATTAAAATTTACTGTGATACGAAGCCTGTCGCGATACATAATGTAAGCTATTTAATATATATTGGTGGGAGGAAACACAGTAATAGATAGCTACTGTTATCTTCAATTAAATGCTTTTATGTTCTTGGGGTAAAATTATATTAACAGACGACACATAAACAGGCTTGTAGAACATAGCCCGTAACTGGGCCCGGGGCGGGGAAGGGGGTTGGTTTTCCTGCTGGCTCCAAAGCGAAAGAGAAGACCGTCCCCGTCGAGCTGATGCCGTGGAGGGCAGGGTTGCTGAAGCTGCACTGACCTTAGGAATGGTCCTGAAGGAGGGGAGGCAGGAGCTGGCCAGGCTGGGGAAGAGGGCTAGAACCAGATTTGCTGCGGCCCGTTCCTGAATCAGGATAATTTGCAGAGAAGATGGCGGAGAGCTCCTGCCCGAAGGAGCATTCCTGGCACACAAGGACGGCCCCTTGTTTTGGAAGGGAGCTCCTTTGGCTTTTTGAAGGGCCTGCTGCCCGTGAAGGCGGCGGTGTTTTGCTCGTGGTGGGACCCCGCTCCCAGCCGTTTCCCCTTGCCTGCACCGTCCTTCGGGGCGGGGCGGGGTGGGGCAGCTGCTCTTCCCCACGACTGACGGGGGGGGAGGGGGGCGTCTGCTGGCAAAGGGGCTTGCCTGCCGCGGTGCTCCTGACCCCACGCTAAGGGTGGGGGCTCCTTTCTAAAAGTTGGACTGGGTAACCATACGGTGAATGGGCTGGCTTTGCACATCACAACCCCTGTTTCCCTGTATCATTTTGGAAATGATTCAGACTATTTTAAAACATCCTGGTGAAGAGTTATTTCCACCTTCTTGGGTCCAAAAGAAATATAAACTTATTTTTGGAAAGCTCATGATATGTTAGCCATTTTGAGGGCAAATGGAAAGTAGTGATAGCATGATGGGCTCCTTCTGGAGAGCAGAAAGCATGCCTTCCCTCTCTAAATGCTCTTCTTTGTTTTAATCCCCGATTTCTCTTAAGTATTACATTTTCCACTGGCAGAGAACCACTTTTAGGGTCTTAGATGGGGCTTTGTTTGAGTTCAAGAGGCCTTATTGCTGAATAAAATTGCACAAGTTTTTCTTTGTGCAATCAAGCCATTGTTATTGCTAGACTAGTAAAGGAACGAGCAAAATATAATTGGTGACGGTAAGGAAGAAACCTCTTTGCTGGGAGCTGCACGCGAGGTGTGTTGCAGTTCCAGTGCACTCTGCTCAGGATTTAATAAAGATTCTGAAAGCTGCTAAGATCAAAGACAAAGAAAAATGCTTCTCATATAACATCCTGTTAAAAACTAGCAACGCTATACCGGGTGAGGCCTTTTGCACTTGGATTCTTATTGTAGTAATTAGAAGAGAGAGCGGTTTGCCATTTTAATAAAGCCCAAAATAAGACCAGCCCGTTTCCTGGCTTCCTGAACTGTCGCACAGACTGAAGACATTGGGCGCCGCTTGGGAGAGTAACACGGTTGCTCCTGCCTCCGGGGTTACTCCCCTTCCGCTCCGGAGCAAGGTTTGCCTCCAGGTGGGCCACGGGATCCCAGAGCAGCTCGCGCGCTTCTGGGTTCCATTCTGACATCCTATGGAAGCCCCTCAGTGGGGTAGCAGTATCCCCGGCCCCTCAGAGGAGGATCTGGCCATGCGGGTCACAATCCCTTCCTTGGCTGGGGGCGGTTACGAGGTTATCCCGTGGCCCATCCGCGCTTGCTCCTCCACAGGGGAGAGAGCAATTACAGCATCTAGGGACGTCCCCTTGGCTCCCCAGCTCGAGGGCTGTCCAGTCGATGGAAGGCTGGAAGAGGTTTGCCTTGAAAGGGGTGTGTGGGGATGCTCAGCTCCCAAAAGAGTTGGAAGAAAGGGCTGCTTCAGGACATGCAGGAGCACAGCGCCTTTTCAAGAGAGTGGCTTTTTTCTCAAGTTTCCACATGAGCTTGAAAAATATGGCTGCTTCTGGATGTCAACCCATTGAAGCAGCTGCATCTTTAATGCAAACTCTGCACCTACGTGCTCTGAGACATCTGTCCCAAATAATTTTAAGAGCACACACAATCCATCTTTAGTAAATCTGGTCAGAGTACATTGCAATGAGGGTGATAAATCTGTCCCATTTCATGATTTGTATCCCTTGTAATGGGAAAATACACCTCCAGTCTGAGGTCCGCATCCTGAGCACTTAACTGATGTTTGCTGTAAACGTGCTTGATATTTCATGTGTATCTCCTCCTCCCCAATGTTATAAATATGACCCAACAAAGGCAGCATAATCTACTAGCTGTTTATACCTTGTTTCAAGCACTCTTTTGTTTGTACATAGTGTATACATTCTTGTCATTCATGTTACTGTAGGCTATACACCCTGTAAGGTGATTATTTGTATATAGAAAAAAATAGCCCAATAGCATCACAGAGTTCCACATTTTTAAAAAAATAAAAGGGTTACTGAGTAACCTTTCACATTAAATAAATTTAACACTACCAGAAAGAAATAAAAGCTGAGCCAAGTATAAACACTCAATTTTTGTATGTTTTCCAAATTGTATGTATTAATGCTTTTGATACTGTATTATGTGCCAATAGTTTCCCAATCACCTAGCGAGCAGAAGATATTTTGTACTTTTTGATCCACTGTAATATTTAATAAAAAATGTTACTATCTGTCTCTTTTGTGTTTAATATATGTATAAACAATTTTATTTCTTTAGTTCTTTCAGGGAGAATTACAGGCGGCTTCAACAATCCTTTCATTAATATCTTAAAGGCAGTTTATCTGGAAGCACCATACCCACATACATCCACAGGTGTGAGCATGCACAACCACAGACACTTGCACAATTGGTAACAAATGAAAATAATCTAAGTGCCATTCAGGCACCAAAAACATCTCCAAATAGGGAGTTACGTCTTTGCAGACTGAAGAATGGAAGTGGATTGAGATTAGTTTGGCTTAGATAGTAGGAGTCTGCTGAGACCAGAAAAAAGGAATTTTGTAATTAAATAAATTAGGTAAACTTATGGAATATTTTGCACAATTATACATGTTTACTATTTTTCACAAATCATCTTGGTCTGGTTAGCATGGCTACTGAACGTTTGCCCGCATAAGCCCCGAAAATATTGTTCAGCAGCTCCAGTAAACAGTGGAGAATTCCTAGCTCGGTGTCGAAGGCAGAGGCCAGGAATGGAGTAGACAGCCAGTGGCTGGGAGGTGGAGGGACATGGCGCTTGGGTTTCCGCACACAGGAGGATCATCTCCCTGCAGTTTGCAGAACGAGTCTGTGAAAGAGATGTGGAGAAGTTACATACCATTCGTGGTATCTTTCGATGGCAGCTGAAGAACGAAGGAGCCTCATAAGTTGATTTAGAAAGAGCGCCACGTCAACGGCACTGGGGGGCTTCTGTGAGGCCAGCAACGCTCTGGATCTGCAGCAGAACTTTGTGGCCTTCTGGAGCCCTGAGCGGGCTCTGAAGTAACACAACATTGCATCATGGCAGTGAAATGGAAAACTGGACAAAGCAGATTCCACAGTAACTGGGAAGACTTTCATAAACAAGAGAAGGACCTCACGTGACCGTCACATAAAGCTGCCGAAGCAGAAATTATGATTAGTGCACCCCCAGCTGATAAAAGAAAGTCACTGTCTTCACTGCAGTTTTCAAGAAAAGGAAGCAGTTGCAAGCCCAGATGGAACCAGAAAGGCCACTGTGATGTAGTGAAGGGCCGGACTAGGACTGGGGAGAGGCAACTTCTAATCCCCACTCACTGGGTGACTTTGGGCCACTCACTGTCTCTTAGCCTCACCTGCCATGCAGGATTGTGGTGGTGGCAAAAATGGAGGAAAAATTGCTGCATCGTCGCTGTCATCATCATCATCATCATCATCATCTTCTGATGCACAGGTACAACTAAGGCTGACCACCCAGCTCCATCTTTTCTATCATACGAAGTATTACATGAAAGGTGAGGTTGGCCAACACCATGATGGGTGGGGGGGGTGAGATATTGTTCTCTGCTGTCCCTCATAGACGAGATCATCAGCCTATGTCATTCCATACCAGGGGCAACTTTGCATGCTAACAAGAGGGATAATATTGGTCAACTGGACACATTTTGGCCATAGGTGAGGAGGACAACCAAAACCCAGTTTTAACTGAACCAGGATCATGCTGGTCTGTGCCAACCAGGATCTCTAATCAAGGGACTGCCTTGCAAGCCAACTTCCTGTTGCCTGAATCCTTCCTGTGGGAGACACATGGCAGGTTAAGGTGTTGGTCAGGCACCTGGGAGACCCAGGTGCAAGTTCCCCCTCAGCCACAGGAGCTTCCTGGGTGACTTCGGGCTGGCCACTCACCCCCACACCAGGGTGGCAGTTGGGGGAAATTAGAGGGGATGCTGCCTTGAGTTCCTGGAGAAACAGCAGGATTGAAATGTAAGAAAATAAATGGTTCCATCAGAGCATCAGTAATAGTCCATCAAGGGCCATACAAAGGATTTCTCCATTACTTTGAGCACTTTGAGTCTTCATAGGTTTCCGTTTACTTGCAGGTAGCCCATCCCTCCTGCAGCAGCTCATGCTGTCAAAACATGCTCTCGCAAAAGCACCCACTTTTAAATATAATAGAATCAAGACCAGTCAAGTTTTATGGTAAAAAGCAGTCAATCTGCCAGTGCCCTTGTCTCTCACGAGCGTGTCTTGCACAGAGGCTGCCACTCAACACGACATCTGACTGGTCTGAGGAGGTGCATGAAGGTCAGACTTTACAGCCCTCCTTGCAAGTAGCTCCTGTTCCTCTGAGCAGCTGCTGGGCACAAGTGGCCCACGAGGGCCCGGGGAGAGCGAGCAACTGGGTCGTCCTAAAATCACGCCAAGGGAGGCGACCATCTCCGGAAGCTGAGCTGCCTCCTTCTTCTCCCCCTGGTGTGGGGCAGGGCCGGGTCTTTCTGCCCTGGGCCCAGAAACCTACCTGCCTCCGCAGGAGCAACCCACCCGCTCCTGACCACCCTGAAAGAAAATTCCATGGCCGGCCCAGAGCGCGCCTGGGCCGCCTTCGGGTTGCTTGGCCCAGGCAAAAGAAATGCGTCAGCGAGGCCCGGCTTGTCCGAGGTTCTGGACCAATGTCCTGAGCACTAACACAGTCCAGGGCTGAAAGCGGACCGAGCGACGACACTGTTGGTTTACAAGAGGATAAACGGCATGGACGTCCAGCCCAGCCCAGAAGGCAGCAAGTAATTTTTTGTGGCCATCTGATTAGTGACCCTGCAGAGATTTGCAGCCTAAACTCTGATGGGCATTAAAATCAGTGGGTTTCTCTGCCCTGCACTCTGTGCAGGATCCTGGCTTTTCTGAAGACGTTGGTTGTACAGAATGCTTCTGGTGTGTTTTCTTCTTTCTAAAATAAAGGTGCAAGCATTCGGCTACCACAAGATGGCATTGTGTGCATTTTTTACCTTGAGCAACAAAATAAAACCAAAACAAAAACAAAAAAACCCACACAGATCAAGCTATCTTTGAAAAATGAAGCATTTCTTCCTTGGTGAAGCCTGCAGCTCTTCTCAAACCCTTTAACGCCTCAGAGAACTGAATCTGGCACGACCGATCCATGCACAGATTGGGAGCACATTTCCCAGCCCCTCATTGAAAGAATGAAGGAAGCTCCTCTGATTCTCAGTGGAAGAATCATTACAAAAACAGCTTGAGACGGAGACCCATTTTATTTGTCCGTGAAAGAGGAACATGGTTTCCCACTTGCTTTATTTTACTTTTCAAATACCTTTGGATAAGAAGATGCTATTTAAAGTCACAACTGCGGAAGCTTGAGGATTTTGTGGGAACAGGGAAAAATGCACACTGGTTAAGGTGCTGGACCAGGATGGGAAAGGCCTCAGCTGTACAGACTCCCGGAGGGGGGGGCTTAGGGACAGTCACTCAGCCCCCTGGCAGAGTTGTTACAAGTCTCAGAGGAGGGGAGATCTCCAAGTTCACCACCTTAAGTCTCTGCAGGAAAGACAGCACCACATCTGCCAAGTTACGTTGACAAAGGAAGGGTGGGTGACATGTATAAAAAATATTTGAGTGGGTGAAGGCAGGGTGTGCTGGTGAAGGTGTAGAGCGAGGACCCCAGGCACCCTCGGGGTTGCACTCGGCCAGGGCAGTTCACTCTTCCCACTCAGACAAGCTGCCCAAGGGTGGGTTTCTGGCAGGTTAAAATGCAGCAAGACATGGCTTTGGGTTGCCCCGCTTCCTGCAAACAAATACAGAGACGACGTTACTAGTGGGAGCAGAGTCATGAGCGCAGCGAAAACATTTACATGCTAACTGGCCTCTGACTCTCGGGCAACAGGACCCTTCCAGTGCAGAAGAGGCTTCTCCAAAACACAAAAGGAGCTACAAAGTCTGCCGGGGTGATTGTCACTTTGCAGCAGTCCAGCTGCCCAGGGTTTCCGTAAGTCGTAGTCCCCACCCCACCCCCAGCCCTGCTTCCTCCAAATCCCCCCTCCATTGCCCAGCACGGCCTGCGCCCAGGCTGGAAGCGAACTGTCCCTCCAGAAGCAGGGCTGACCGTCTGGGGCAGCCCCATCCAGGCCCCAAGGGAAGTTTCCTGTCACGGCCTGTGGGGGACCAAGGCCATTGGGAAGGAGGGGGCGCAGTCCAGGAGGGGGGAGGAGGCAAGAGGCAACACAGTCTGCAGGGGGGGGCGTGAGAAGAGGAGGGGGTTCAGGAGAGCCACCCCCTAGATCTCCCAGGGTAGATCCACTTGTTGTAGTACAGACTTAGTCTGGCAAGATGCTGTCTGTACGGTGTAAGCAGGTGAAGGAACTGAACTGTTTCGTCGTCGTTCTTGGGCCGGGCCTGACACAACCCAACGTCAAACTGACGGGGTCTATTCCTGACAGCC